AATATAAAAACTGAATTTTCAATCAATATCACCTGGTGAATTTTGTTTAGGTATTCACAAATTAATGACATTATATGAAATCCACATTACAAAAAACATTGATGGTGCCAAAATTCAAAATAATAAAACAATGGAAAATGCCGTAACTTTCATTTCAAAACGAACCATCGGGGGTAATTTGCAATTTTGGTAAAATGAAACAACGAAGTTTTAAAAACACCTTCATTTAGATAGTTATGGGGACATTTATGGAAGATTTCTCTTAGTTTTAACATTTACCCCCGCACCCCTAGCGTATTCGTTTTTTTTGTTATATTGCCATTCTAAACCCCTTTTATAACGTTTTGTATGTTGTGTTAGTTGGTATTTAGGTAGGTACATTAATAGTGTAGTGTATTTACCTACATATAGTGTAGAAACATTTTTTAATATTTGTGTTCATGTTTTGTGGCAGTTGAGAAAATTTCATAAATCCTATTATTTGTGGAATGCCTATATTTAATTTAGGTGTACGTACATACCTACTCCCAGCTGTAGATCCGTTTTTACAATAAGTGTGCAGCAGCACGTGCTTGATAGACTGCGGTCTCGCTTCACCGCACGGGGAGTAATGCGTTAAACGAAGATGGAACTAGAAATTTTAAAGGCGTTTGCTATAGTTATACGACCGTCTGCCGGGTTTTCCTTGGTTTTCCCAAATTCTACATTAAAAGAGCTGTATATTAAGGTATAATTCGAGCGTGTACCTTATGACGAGGTATTATGTGATTTGGAACAGTTTTCAAAATTCGCCCCCGCGCTAAGTTTTACCGCCGCGGGCCGGCAGACGGGCGATTTTGGAATCGCACGGTGACATTCTACTGCCTAGTTACATCAAACCTTTTGTACCCTATGACGAGGTATTTTCTACGCGGGCTCTCGGTCCAGTAGACTGTGACACACAAAACAACAATAAAATACTTGAGCCACGATATGGGTAAATTAATAGATTAGAATTCGCAATTGAAGTGTTTATTAAGATGGAGATCTGTATTCTTGGAGATAAAACATAAGATAGGTACGTGTACCAACCCGTACCTACCTATGTCATTTGATCATAATTTATGTTAATCAATAGAGAGGTTCGACATTTTTGGTATGTGTTTTATTTTAACTAAAATCAAGAGATTTTGTTAGGTATTAAACAACGATCAGAAAAAAATTGGGTGCAAAATATTGATATTTACGTCCGCTGTAAGCACTTTAAAATCAAGGGTCGGCGCGAAGCAAGTAAACGTACCTGTGCGCGAGACTACCCCGCGTGACTGTAGTAATAGTAGGGGAGCTAGCACGAAATCCACTGAACGAGAATGATCAAAATTTTAACCGATGCAGTTCCATTTTGCCCTATCAGGGTATGCTAAAATCGATCGTCTGCCGCCTCAGGTCATATGACTTAAGGCGCTGCGGGTACTTCTTGCGGTACCAATTCTGAAAGGTTGTTTTTCGAAAAAATAAGTTATACACCTAATGAAAACGTTGATAATAGCTCTTAAAAAAATATTTAAAAAAATCGCGAACATTTGATAACTCCGTAAAAAAACAATTCTTAGTCGGTTTTTCACGAACTTTCTACGGATATACCTAGGTTACCGTTGGATGAATGAAGCTGATTTTTTTTACAGACTAATGATAGGTACAGCCAATGACTATGACAGTGTTTCTTTTTTAAATTCTTTCTCTAATTATAAGATATCTTATAGTGTTAAGATAATAAGATAATCTTATAATTAGAGAAAAAATTTAAAAACGAAACACCGTTAAGTCATTAGTAGTACCTATCATCAGTCTGTAAAAAAATCAGCTTCATTCGTCCAACCGTAACCTAGTTATATCCGTAGAAAGTTCATGAAAAACCGACTAAGAATTGTTTTTTTACGGAGTTATCAAATGCGCGCGATTTTTTTAAATATTTTTTTTAGAGCTATGACCAATGTTTTCATTTGGTGTATAACTTATTTTTTCGAAAAACAACCTTTCAGAATTGGTACCGCAAGAAGTACCCGCAGCGCCTGAAGTCGTATAACCTGAGGCGGCAGACGATCGATTTTAGCATACCCTGATAGGGCAAAATGGAACTGCATCGGTTAAAATTTTGATCATTCTCATTCAGTGGATTTCGTGCTAGCTCCCCTACTATAACCAGAAACATTCGCATACTTTGTTTCTGGTTACTAACGTCACGCGGGGTAGTCCGGTAGTTCTGATTTTTGTTGGGATTGCTTATGTTGTTAACCCAATGTATAATTCAAGTTTTCGACCTCGAGCGGCGAACGCAACATGGTCAAATATACTAAAAACCGAGGAATTTTCGTTTTCTTTTCAGATTTTGACGATTTTAACCCTGAAGGACCGGTTTTTGGCCAATAAGTTTTCAAAGCAGACCAAATTTGCTATAATTTAAGCCCACATCCGTTTGTATAGGTGTAATAGATTCCGAAATAAAGCTTTTAAAAGATTGTGAATTTTTCAAATTCAAAAATCTTTCACAATATTTTGTGGGTGACGTTTCTATTCTGTTTTAGACAGATGCCAAGAATGGGCGGTATTACGCTGAAAAATAAAACGAATAATGAGTTTTGTAAGGTGGTAGTTTCTGTTGCCAACTAAACTGCTGTTAATGTCAAAGATACAAGTGTAATCGTTTGATTTATTTCTGTTCACCAGTGCTGGATATTTTTACTTTACAATAATTTGATGCCGTTTTATATTTTCCCTGATTTTTTTCTGATCTAGAAATGGTGGAGGATGTATTGTGGAGAGATGTTACACAAGATATTGACAATCCAGCCACAAAGCTTTCAAGTGAGGAAATTGAAGATGCTCAACCGTGCTCGTCGAAGAAGGGAAAATATACTTAGATGGAAGTCAAACAAAATTTCTTTTTATAAAATGACTGTTTTGAAGTTTAATTAAGAATATCATTTACACCTCTCGTGTTCTTTTATAAAATTACAGAACAACAAAGTAGTGCTAACAATTTTCGACTTTGAAAAAATCGATAAAATTTGAAAAACATGATCTCGTAAACTATTATGACGTGTATAGAAACGGTTGTGGCCTCAAATTGTGAAAAATTTAGTCCACTTTCAAAGCGTATTCATTAGTTATTTTCGACAAACAGGTCCTTCCGGGTTAAAATCGTCAAAAACAGAAAAAAAACGAAAATTTCGCGGGATTTTGTATATTTGACTATGTTGCGTTCGGCACCCGAGGTCGAAAACTTGGATTATATACTGGGTCAACATCATACACAACTCCACCAAAAATCAGAACTACCGGATTTGACGCATAGTCTGATGTAGGTATATGGTTACTGGACTAATTATGTTTAACCCGTTTATTTAATATAAATCGTATTCTGTTCTAAGGTATTGAAATACAGGGTGGTATCTTTAAGTGGCCCATTGGAAGTCCCTGGAACGGTTTGGAATCTCGATTCGAGATTTTTTTGAATAATCGATCAAAAGGAATCATTAAAAAATATTTTCAAGGTGGCCGCTTTTCCGGTTGTATCAGAACGATACAGGAACTTTCTTATTTTAAATGGTACTATCTTTTCTGATGGTATTTTCGAATTCCGCATAAAAATCAGTATGACTTTGTTAATATGATGCTATGTCTAACTGATATGGTTTGGAAATTATTTGACATTTTATCACGGTTTCAGAGATTCAGTAAATTAGCCACATCACTGTTGTCTGACAACTTAGCAAAATGTTTTTTTACGAATGAACAGCTAAAAGCCCGCGCTATCAAATGTTATTGGTCTGATTTTCAAACGTGATTCGAAAATAATACGAATAAGCGTTCAAAGTTGACAATCTGAAATTATCTTATAAAAAAAGTGATTCTATCATCTTTTTGTTGCGAAAGTATTAATTGTGATGGAAATACGCTCTTTGAACACGACGAATATCCATATACGGAGTGTTCCGAAATTGGCTCCCGCGGACAATGGACTGAGATAAAACTGAATAGATAACCTTATTACGCTTTTTTGATCAGGCAAATACTTTTCAAGATACGAGGTTGCATATGTAATGAGAAGGAAATTAAGAAATTAATTGTTTTAATTAATAACTAATAACAAAACGAGATTGGGGCACGAATAAACTTAGCTGTTCCAAATGTCCACCATTTGCTACTTGACATGTTGAATAGAATTATTTACCGTTTCTGGTTTTATTTTGTGTATTGCTTGGATTTTCAATTATCATAATGAACATAATCTGGGCTAATGGGAATCACCACGTGCATTAAGAATAATGAACTTATCTGGAGGAGCTACAAAAACAGCAGCCGGGAAGTCCTACTGGTAACAGCAATTGTGCAAGCACGAGACATCACGGGCATGCCATAGTTATTAAGAATATTAGTGGATCCTGGATCACAAGCCTCGTTTATCACAGAAAAGGTGGCACAGCAGCTGAGTCTCCCAAGGCAAAAAACGAATGCGATGGTATCGGGTGGATGTTGTCTTACAACTGCGAAAACCAAGATAACGGTTCCGTTACAGTCAAGCCAACCAAGTGAGCACAAATTAACAGCAGAAAGATAATCGAAAATCTACCACTGGCGTCGTTTGAGATGAACAAAGATCAATGGAAGAAAGTGCTCTTAGCTGACCACACGATGAACAAGTCCGAGCCAATTGACGTACACCTGGGGGCAGTTTATAGTACCTGGAGTCATGAAAGAGGTCGAATTGATGAATAAACAAACCGAATTTGGTTGGGTGGCATCTGGGAAAACAAGCAAGACAATCGAAAATTTGGCATTGTATCAACAATGGAAGAAGAAAACTAACCATCAAGATGATAACAAGAAGTCATTCGCTGATAAATCAGTGGCACACGAGTAATAATAATCAGTTTTAGTTTTTGTAATAATGATAAGATAAGCAGACAATCATTAACTATGTATCTAATCTGTTAAAGTTCTTGACACGTAGGTACAAATGGGTGTGCAAGGCTGTCTTATAGACTAGTATCTACTTTCCTCATGTATTTTAAACTTGTATTGGTTTCTGTTGCTCTCATGTGTGTAGGCGTTGGAGGTTTTACCTTAGGTATGTAACAAATAACAATTCGAGAATTATTTTATGCACGAACGAGCGCTGAAACTACACCCATACATTATCAATCATCATCAATTTTTCAATGAAAGCTTCAGTTGTACTGTTGGAATTGTTCCATAGTGGACGTTCGAAACTTAACCCTTTTTTTCCGAAAATACTTGTGGCTATGGAAATACGCTTTTTAAAACACGTTGAACACACGTATATATTATTTTAAAATTTGATTTCCTTAAACGTATCGAATCGTAGATTTTACTTCACGCAGATGTTATACTTGCTATGGTAATTCAAAAGACAACAGTGAAGAGTTTAACAAATGCCGTAACTTTGCTATTAACCAGGCTCAAATTTGTACACCTGGTGGATATTGCATGACTACCATGGGAGGTAAGTAGTAGGTTATCTAATATACGAATATCATCTACCTCATTTTTAGGTATATATAGAAGCGACGGGTCCTTAGGCGGGGCTTTTGCGTCAAGATTTTGTAGTAACCATAGGTGCCTGGATGAATTTGTCAGGGCTGCGAGAGCTAACATATCCTTAACTTCGTGTACGTCCTGCCCAACCGATTATTGCAATATTGATAGATTTTGATAAATCAGAGTCTATATAAGGCCTGTGAAATTTTTTTGCATAGATATCACTATTTATGTTATTGTTCTTTAATTTTTTTGTTATGTTTTCTTCTAAACTACAAAATGAAATAGTTACGTTGTAATATACGTATTTACATCAACAACCACTTCTCAAAGATCCACAGACACTGATGTCAAGATCGCCATAACCAGAAAACATCATCTACTAAGTGCTGGATTTTTTGCGAAAAGATGTCTTCACTCTACAACTTAGTCTCCAATTGTAAGCTAAATGGACATCGATTCATAATAGACAATTAAGTGTCGAAACTGAAATATGTCGATATCTGCACCCTACATCCAACTTGGAACCAACGTTCAAATTAGTACGTAATTATAAAACAAAACATTCCATTCTGCCCAAATTTTCATATTCAGGAAATATAAAATTGAAAAAATACTGACAGGTTCCAATTTATAAGGCTAACTGGATATTTGCCGAAAGTACCTACAAGGCTAGAATTAGATTCTCCAAAGATAGAAGAATGAAATTCAACACTTATTTTTTCTGTAAATTTTCGTTTGTGTTGTTGTTGCGTACTTTTGGGTTTGTATAAATAATTTAGTAAGTAGGAATCCATAAAGTTGACATGACCCTGGTCTTGATGGCCTGTTAAGAGTTGTGGTACCTATCCAAGGACTCCAGTACGTTAATATGTTCATGTAAAGTCGTTTGTGTTGCGTTGGTGAAAGCAACAGACGTCAATGAAGGACATTCACGAAATTTGTCTTAAATAGTGCACCCATGCTGGAGTATAGCAAACAAACTGTTCTTCGATGGTCGTAGCTTTTGCAACAGTTCTCTAACATGCATGCGTCAATTTGCACGCAACGTACGAGATTTGGTATAAGAAGGGTCAGAGTTGAGGTCGAATATCGAAAACAGCGCACAGAAATGATTGTTTTAAGTAAAAGAAGTGACTGCTTTCTTAAACTAAAATATTTTTTCCATTGGGAGGAAACATCTACATTGCTTCGCAGTGCAAAGCTGCTTTCATTTAAATCGATAACTAGCATTCCTTCTACCACATAAAGTTTACACAGAATAATGACAAGAAGTTTGCAATTAATGGCGTTGATCCTCCCTTCCTTAAAATACAATCTTGACCTTTCAAAAGTGAACCTGAACATTTTTTAGCAAATTTTGCAACCGACCTACGGCTAGCCGTTATCACAAATTTTACGGTGACGTACCTGCTAAAAATTTCTCCTTTTTGGTGATGCTGAAAATTGACATCAAAGTCTGTTTTTCTGAATTGATTGCTAGCAAAATTAAACACCAAATTACCATGTAGCGTTAACTATATGCAATGTACCTTCGGCTATGGTACTGACAGTAAAATTGGTCTTTCTTGTCGTCTGGATCAAGTTTTTTGGACGTCAACTTCGAGATTGCCAGCAAGCACAATTTTTAACTACCAATGCTAACTGTTCTTTAAAGGTTCGAGACGTTTTTTGTATTATTGTAGCAGGAGAAAATTCCACCACCACGCAAGATCGTACACTTTCCTTTGATTAATGTTTTACTTTTTTCAATGCATGTGCATGACCGTGGTTATTACGAATCCTAACTAGACAGGTCAATTCTTCTTTTATTTTTGAATACGCGCCCTAATAATTTTAAACTATTGTTCTTTGTACCAAAAGAAATACACGACACTGGCACACTTAGTTGATTTGTCCTCGACCGAATACGGTGATAATTTTACACGACGTTAAACTGTTGGAATATCGTCTTCTCTTAGCCCCTTTCTTTAACATACATAAAAAATCTCGTGTTTAAACTTCTGTTTTAAGAAAAATACACGAAATTCAATTTGGATTTAGGGTCCCGAAAAAGACGCAAAGCTCGGTCGAAAAATCTTTTTTCAATGCTTGCACTCTAACAAAAAATACTATTAATTTTTTCCACACAGTGGCTGCTCGCGTAGTTCAGAACCGAATGCCTTCTCCAAATCCCCGGAACCATCCCTTCCTATGTTTTTCTTAATGAATTAACAACTTTTTCCATATGACGTCTAATTATTAAGTCAACCGTTTTTCTTTACAATCAAAATCAAAATCGCTGTACTCCCAAAGTATAATAAAAACTAAGCTACCCATAGACATTCTCTCACATTCTGGATGTAAAAACCCTTCTCTAATTATATTTTAAATTCCATCCTATGGGAAATGAATGAAAAAATGTCAATATATCATCAAAAAAGGTTTTGATCTAAAAGAGGGGAAATTGAAGATAAATTTGGTTGTAATCAATTTATCTAGTAATATTCATTAATATTCTAAGATGCAACCCCTGTAAGTATTATTGATATTGATGAGGCATATATTATTACATTATTTATTACGCACTTAGTAGCATTTAAAGATTAATTTTTCATACAGTAATTATGAGCGCGACCGTCAAAATTAAACAAAAAACAAAGCCTCAATCGATTCGTATTGCAAGCAGATTACACTAGACGTGCATGTCAGCAATGTATGGAATAAGGAATTCACATTGAAAATACCTAGGATACGCCCCGCCTGATGAGCACAAAAAAGACGTTCCATTAGCGCAAAAAACGCGTTTAATTTTTACTCTAATTTAAGTTTTTTAATTTTTAATTTAAGTTCTTGGCGTATTAGATAAAAAAACGGAAATTCTGTGGCAGCGAAGTGAATAATTGAATCTTAGTTGACGCTTTCCGGGTAGGTAGTTTAGACATGTTTTAAAATTTAATTAGTACAAATTTGTGTAATTTGTAAGGTAAAATTTATTCCCAGATGAATGCGCTGAACAGTCACTCAAAAGTTTTATTTTACAAATAAAACATAAATGCATGTTGTCAACCCAATCGGGGAAGGTAATATTTGAATATTTAGTAACTCTGCCGCATCAGTCACCACCTGATATACAAAACTTGGCTTAAGTTATCAATAAATTGCGTAATTGCCACGTGTATTGGTTGTTTTCACATATTCAAATACCGAAAAGCTCTTAACGTGATAATATTTGCACGCCTAGGTTTCTTGGAAAATGGAAAACCTTTCCGAAGGTATTCTGTTCTCGCACGATTAGGGCGTTGTGCACGGGTGCCCCATCCTGTTGAAACCAACAGTTGATGATTTCCACGAAACGAAATTGAATATCTAACGGGGCCTTATAGATCTCTAAAAGTGGAAATGAGAAAGTGTTTTTACTTCTCTGTATATCTGTATCAGAAGAAAGTAAAAACGAAATCGTCAAATTTCGGTTTTTCTGGCATACCTCTGTAAGTCATCGGAATCTTCTGGTTTTCTTTACCGCATGATAACTTTTTAATTGCGCAACTTTTGCCTAATTTGACCATCGTCGTATCTTGGTTTCCGACATCCCCATGATAGACATCTTTATCTTGGATACAATGTATTACGTATTATATCGAAGACTACCCGACAGAAGAGACATGGCAAATAAATGTGAATTCCACATTTCATCTTGCCGTTAAATTAATCTGGTGGTTCATGAAACGTTAACAATGGAAATCTGTCTAGTAAGATTAACTGAAACGTGAAAGATCCGCTTTTAGTGTTACCGGAAGGTGAAAATTTACCTCTTAAAATGAATTTTGTTCTAATCCACAAAATCAACCGTACCGAGTCAGTTAATCCTACTCCTTCAGCTTCACAGTAATTAATCAATAATAGATATCGATTTTACTTTTAAAATTCTCCTTAGTATTTAAACGTGCACTGTGCAGTCTCAATTTTAGTTTATATCGAGATGTCCTCGGTTGACTTGTAGCTTCACTCTGTGTGTTATTGATTTTGTCTTATTCTCCTCATCATTGACAGGTATGCTTCAGTTCTTTCAGCAATCTCGTTTTGCTAGAATTATAGAGCATTTCCCAATCCGTTATAAATTTATTAAAAATAGATAAAACGCTTCCACTAAGTCAACTATATGGAAGTAACTGAAATTGTTAAACTTTAGTTTTCGAAGCGATAATTAATATAATTGTTATTTACATATGAATTGTCTGTTTCTATGTTGGGCGATTAAGTACTCAACGAATTAGCGAAGTTCTGCAGAAGTGCGCTTTAAAATTGATTTTAATTATAAACTGTATCTTGTATTAAACGCTTTCCAACTTATACTGTATAACAAATTTTAACTTTTAATGCGTAATTTAATCCATCGACTAAGCTTTATACTCCTTTGGAAATTCGCCGTGTATTAACTTTATAACGAGCAATAAATTTGCCAATTTCATTGATGTTGCATTTAGTAAAGTTAAAAATTAATAATCGTCGAGAATTATTTACATTTCATTAGGTAAGGGATCAAATTCTAAAACTTTTCATAGGCGAATTCATTTACCCATAGTTAATCCTTCGGAGCTTACCCTTCGATGCAGGTTAGGCTTAGTAATTGTTGGTTGTATTCCTTGTTCTTGTCAAGTTAAGCTACTTCACTCCATAAATTTAAATGAATAACTGCTAATTAAGATCGGTTTATAGTAAACCTTTGTATGCCCTTATCTTTCCCAGAGTATTATTTGGATATGGTAACTATGGTAATACGAATTAGATTTGGTGTTAATGGGTTATCTCTATGGATTCCATTATTTGGTTTACAATAATTGTATTAAAATTTGTTTGGGTGTCAAATGTAATTTCGATTGTCAACACGTTATACTGCTACATTGATCTTATATATCTAGGTACTATAATGATACATTTGGTGAAATTGGAACGTATAAATTCATGAGTACCAATACAAACAACAAATAAATTGTGTGCGTGCATACGAACTGTGTGCACTGCAGTAGGGCAAATATCGTAAATCGTAAAATATTTTAAATACAACTCCGTAAATAAATAGTGTCGACAAATTTGCTGTATACTTTGTATTAAAATAAGAATACAATGTAAATGAAATAAGAGGGTTGAGGGATATGTTCACGTTTAAAAGGCTCATTCATCAATATTTGTATATTTGATATATTTAAATGATCAATAACATTTAGAAAATATCTAAAAAGTGTTTAGCATCAATTTAACAAATCTTGGAGTAATTGAAGCATTATAGTGATTAATTTTACTAAAACCTAAACATTAGCTGGAGACTTTAATATAGGTACCCTTTTGGGGGAAACGTTAAAAAACCAATGTTTTATATGTGTAACCCTACAGAACTAAACATTGTATAGACAACACACATCTGGGTCGTAATTTGGGCTCGATTAATCACAAAACCAACCATTTAAAGATGAACAAATTTATTAGATAGAAACAATGCAATAAACTTAAAGAAAAATACGCACCCAGGTCCAGAACAACACATACCACGAAATAAGTGATCGATAGAACAATAAATTAAAGAAATCTTAATTACTTTAGAAACGTAGTGTCTCCTCCGAAGGCCCCAAAATTATATTTTTTATATTTTGTCCGTGTTTTTTATGCAGTTTTGTTTTCATTTTTTTCACACTAATCACACATTCCCCTATCTGTACGGCTGATCTTCTTCTTTTAGGTCTCATAAGTTTTTAGAACCTCAACAAATGAATTTAAACTGTTTCAAGGGTGTCAACAAATTAAACTTTTAAACTATTTGGTGGCCATTTTTAATAATATAAGTAACTAATTATTCAATATGTATCTGCTCGTAAAAGTAGAAAGATGTTCAAGATCCAGGAGTTATTAAAGTAAGAATACAGTGTCTCTATTACTTGAGTCGAAGATGGGAAGTTTAGAAACCACGAGATATTAGAAGTTATTTGTCAACTTTTTTATGGAGTCCCATTTTTAAAGTAAGTTTAATAAAGTACGTGACTGTGCTTTTAAAGTTTCGCTGTATTAGTTTTGTGTTGCTTCGACGCCAACGGAAACAACGTTTTTATGAATAATTTTTCTTGTTAACATTATCCGACGACTTTCTAATCGTAAAGGAAGGTAAGCACACCGTAAAACATGATACATAAAGGTGAATAACAATACCTTTCGAGATTTTAATTAAAATTACAATAATTCAAACATTTGAGAATCTTTAAAATTGGAATAAGTATAAGAGCGATATTCCTAAGAACGAAAACAAATTATTTAATTAACTTCGTTATTTCTTTTCAATGTTGTACTTTCATTTCTTACAAAATGGTTTTTTTATGTAATCATTTTTTTGCCTAATAGAAATGTCCTAAAGTTTGGTGCAGATGCCGAACGCGCTATGAAAGCGAGGTTACATCATAGTTTTCAGATTTAGTAGTGCTTATTTATTTTGATGATAAAAAATGCTCAATGTTATTTTTAACGTCATTTCTTTCCACCAAGTTTCTTATTTATTTAATATTTATTTTCAGTTTTCAAAAGAGAAGGTCATTCGTTGATTTTCCTTACCACTAGCATTATTACATCCACATTCTAAGATGCTAAGATAATATGTACCTAATATCTTAATTAAGTCGAACGGTTTACTGTACCTGACAAAAAAATATATCATACACTAGAAAGGGTTTGCTAACGTAGAGAAAATTTAAAAAATTAGGAAGCCCAATATCTTTGATCAAACAGCCATTTCTTTTTACTTATATTGACAATACATGCATATTACCTACTCTATGAAAATGGGCTTTTAATTGTTTAGTACCTACGTTAAAAAATGCAATAAATCCACAGTTTGTTTAATACAAATTCCGTGTCACGTGACGTTTAAAGTTCGTTTGCATTTTAAATTTAACGTTTGTACATAAAAATACATATGTTTTAATACCAAGTTTGAAAAATTCATGTGCTAAATCTGTAGAATGTATTGGAAATAAAATATCAATCATAATTCCGTATAGGTAGGATTTGTTCACAATCTCTAAATAAGTACAGAGATTCCTTTTATATCTTCTTACAGGTTGTCGAGAACTTTTGGTATTAATCGATACCATCGCGTTTAACGAAACGAACTAAAAAAATTGCCCGTTCACAGAAGAGGCTTTATAGAAAAATACTGTGCACTTACCCTTGTAATTACTCTTTTTATGATAAACGATCAAAAATTAAACGTGGAATTGCCACTAATTGAGGGGTCTGTGGGAATTCAACAGATGCTCGATTGCTACAAAGAAACGTACAGTCGCAGTTTTCGTAATGAGACCGATATTTATCTAATTTATCCTGTGCTTTAATAGCAACCTTCCTTTAAATGCAATTTTTTTACCGGTTGTTTATTGTTACAGATTCGCTGCAGCAACTTCTTTAAATTGATTTTCGGCGACGAATTATTTATTGGTAAGTTGTTTTAGCGTTTACATAATTATTTGCGTTTAATTCACGATGTTATTTGATCCCTTGGATAATTTTCATTTACGAGAAAAAACTTGATCGGCTTATTTGTGGCAGAATTGCGATTATTTATTATTTCTAAAATCCTACTTAAACTGTTGAGCTTACAATGTTGAATTTCTTACTATTTCATTTAGAAGAATGCCACGCCAAGTCGGTTTCCATTACGCTTAAGCTCGGCTAAGGAATTGGTTGCCGTTGAATTAATTACTTACCGCTGTGCGTGTAATTTCCTACGAGTATATTATTTTAACATTGTGATACAATTAAAAATTCCTCAAGGAAAGAAAAGTTTACAAAGCTTGTTTGGACATATTACCCTGCACGCAGCCGGGCGACAAATAAAGCAGCGATGAAGCACGTGCGTTACTTAATTTTCGTGTGATAAAACTCCTTTATGCAATGTACCAGATTTGTCTTACTTCAGGCACCTTATATGAATTGAATAGATTACAACATCGATAAAATTTAAACAAAAATTACGAATTTACAACATTTTTAAAAGGATCCAACAGTACTGAGATACAAATTCAAATGAAACCAACCAACTTTGAGCTTATTTCGTAAATAATTCTCCTGATTTATTTAATAAATTGAAATATTCTCGTATATACACGATGTTTCGTTATTATTTTTGGTTTAGACCTGCTTACACAACAATATAAAGTATGTAAACTAAAAGAATATATTTTGGTTAAATAAAATAATAGCGAATAGTGAAATAGCGAAAATAAAAGGTGATTGAACTAATCACTCATCAATCATCCGTTTACACAAAAGGGTTGCTACAATTTTTTTTCTATAAAGATTGCAGCGTAATGAACGGATTTTCCACGTCGACAAATTCAATGTGACAAAATAATTGGCAGTAGAGTAGAGAATGTGCCTCATTTAAAGCGTTGCCCTTTTTTAGTTGACCGCTTAAACGCTATCCTTGACACCCCAATTTTTGCCAAGATATATTTAACTGCTTCGGATAAGTCTGTTGAATGGCAAAAGTAGCAAGAGTTTACACTCCACAACAGGAAAAAAATCTTTTAGTGAAGGTTTAACTCTCGCGCTTGTTTTGCAGGATTTGGAAAAATCAACTTGCTCGTATTAATACCCCATGAACGCTTGCCCTTTTAAATCAAATGAAGAGTCGTAATCTAGATTTCGAAAGAAAAAATGTTCCTCATTTATTATGAATCAACTCATTTTCGGCAAAAAAATACACTTCTCACAAAATTAAGCAAATTTCAGCGTCCCTAATATTCGCATAAAAAGAAAGTTAACTAAAACGCACGAAAAAATGTAAGGACATTAATTTTTTTCGTCAACTTTTTGGTATAGAGCAAATGGTTGCGTACATAATAATTTAAAAACGTTTTAAATATGACGTCCTCCACTTTTTATGTGCTGGTAAAGTATCCGAGTGTGGACTGAATAAATTACGAAAATGAAATTGCGTTTTCATACAAGATTTTAGTAAAGTAAATTCAAGCTTTATTTGTTTAAGCTAAAGGGCCACGTTTGAATTGCGGGCGAGTTAAAATTGAGTTGAAACTTTATCGCTGAAACTACTGCACTTTTCTAAACGAACGATATCTGGAATTCACACACCACAAACTCAGTTTTCTGTTATCGCGTTATGTCGACTGATATTTTCATTAGGCAAGCATTATTTTATGGAATTTGCGCAGATTAGTTTGTGAAGATTCATTGGGACCTTCCACCCTTATATAGTTCAATCAATCATTATTTGATTTTTGAAGAGTTTGGAGGAATGTACTCGTCTCCAATATCTTGTGATTTAAATTTGCGATGGTGGCGCATGTTACTAATTTTCTAATTATAAATATTTGACTAATTTTTTTACAAGGTAACTTGTAGCCTTTGTGAGGCGTATTTTGATTACATTCCTGACTCAAAATTACTCACAGACTAATTATCTCAATTTCAACGTAAATAATGCTGACATACGTTAGAGTGATTGCTAATTTCTAAACTCTCTCATTAGAAAAATATTCGAAGCTTTGGTCTACGCTAACCACGGGATTTAAAAAGCTTTTTAAACAGTTAATCAAACACGAACCGACGAATAAAACGAATTCAAATGCGCTTAAAGCACATCTGCAGTTTGATCAAGCAAAACACAAAAAAAGTTTCTAAAATGCGAAAAGCATTTGGTTAACTGAAAGCGCAGCTTCCATTACTGTTGTGACATAAATATAAATGTAGCTCATTATAAACGACCTCAATGAAGTGAGTGTATTTACGATTCATTAAGAACGATACATTTCGAAAATATACGGAAAAGTACGTGAGGGAAAATATTTTCTTGAAACATTAAAGTCGAAATGAAACAAGACAAAGAGTCGACTTTGGGATCGATTGCAATCGTATGCTTTCACATCCGGTTTATCAATCTTAATCAAAACATCGAAAGAGAATTTGGTTGCGAACCATCTCATCCTCTTCCTAATGGAACGCTAAGTTGGATAAAAAACTTCAAGTTGAAATATTGGAATTCATTTTTGCTTTCCCTCACAAATCATTAGAACTTAATGTATTTCGTAATAAGAAATGTCTGGGTATATTTTCAAAGGAAAGTAGCTGAATCGATCTTGATAGTAATAAGCTTCTGTCATTATATGAAAGCTTACTCTTTCTTCTCATTAGCTTCATATCGTTAATTTAATACGATCATACGGTAGACGTGCATTGAAAGAACATCAAAAGCTCACCGAAATTATCAAAATCAATTTAGTACGTTTATTTCAATTGCCTTACTTACCGTAATTCTCATAAAAATTGGGAAAATTAGCCAATGAACCTTTTATGAAGTGTATAGTCCTGTTATTAAATAGGTGGAACAAGGTTGAATTAATAATCTCTTGTTGGCCTTGGCAATCTTTACCATACGGGGTGAGATTTCAAAAACTAAAGCCCTTGTTTTTTAAAAAGTCTATTTACGGTAAAATCGACACTTCTTTGTGAATTTAACTGAACGGCAAAATGAGTAAAATAAGTTACAGATCTTAGCTCATCAATTGTAAGTATCCATTATGAAATTTCGGGTAAGAGTCACAACTAATGGGGTAAAAGCCTGCCAGCGGAATTTCCAAATGATATTTAATAAAGAATTATGTTTACCGCGGCAATACTTTTATATCCGACAATGATGGATTATATCGCTTTACAATGAATATATATCATATTGGTTATGTACCTACGTTGTTTATCATTTTGTGGAAAGAGTATATTTTATGAGCGTCAATTACCATTAATACGCCGCAAAAGTAATTTAAAGGAACGAAAATTACAAACATTTCTCAAAGATTTCATTTTGGTATAATCGGAGGACTTATTTTGATATCTATTAACCTCGTGCGCGAGACGGATTTTAATTAAACGCAGTCAAAATCTTACATATCGAATTTTGGAAAAATACCTACTGTTTTATTTAGATATATTTAAAATGTAGCTATTTAACTGTCAAAATTGGACACACAACATTTGATGCTATCTAAGATAAACAAATTTACAGATTTTGCAATACATGCAAACATCGGAATCATTGAAAATGATAACCGCATAAGGCCATATGTACAACACAAATAAGCCTTATTCACATAGGATCACTATATATCACTATAATACTATATGTTACTCTGTATGTTACCAGATACGCCTTTTGAAGCAAGTTGTCGATACAAAAACAATTTTACTTTTTTTACAATGCGCAATTAAGTACGATCCAAATTTTCCTACGGGCCGGACCGCTGGTGTACAACTTTAATGGCAAAACAAGCACTCATTGCAAAAATATCAATCATTGAGGCGATGGTTCACGCACGGTAACCAGAATCATTCTAGTATATTCGGGAGCGTTCGGAAGCGTTCAACAACTTTCTAAAAAGACCGGCATTTGCTATAAAGCAAATCGAATTATGTTTCTAGTCAGTTCTAACATTGATTCCAAGTGAAGTAAGCTCCCTCTCGTCTTAATTTTTTTATTTATTGTTCCTCTTTTGTTCTGGGCCCTCAACAGGTTTTCGCCCAATTACAAAGTGATCCGCATAATGCTTTTTAGAGGTGTAAAGTAAATGACTTTAAAGAAAATTATCCCTTCGTCAATAGGTGAAATGTTTTTTATAAGCAATATACAAAAAGGAATGCCGTTGGGGAAAAACACTCAATGTTTACACTTATTATTATTATATATTATTATTCTTAATGATTATATAGATACAAATGGTTACAACACCTTTTTTTAGATTCAATTTCTTGAAATTTAAATTTACGGTCTGATTCCGGATGGACGGTTTTGGCTGTATCATGTAACAAACTGCGCTAAAGATTAAGTATCGACTGGATTGAATATTGAGAACGTTTTAAACGTCTTAAAATTCCCTTGAAAATTGTATAATCTGAAAAAAATTTTTGAAAATAGCGAAACGGTGGGGTTCTTTTAACGTGATTATTGACCATGAAACTTTCTTTACTGGTTGCAACTTTTTAAGCAAGGAATGTAGTGAACACAGTGATTAATTTTATAGATAAAACCCTATTGATCGTTTACAAAATAGGAAAGTTTCGTTTCTACATCCGTGTACCATGGATTAGGGTATTAAATATGTCTACGTTAAGCTAATTTCTTGATTATGAGACAAATTTAAACATACTACTCAGATGATGAATTTTCTGGCAAGTCTGTATTGCCCTAAAATTGAGTTTCTGAATGTCCAAATGCCGATTTAGGTAACAATAAATTCATTTCATTTTTGCCAATTCCCACACATTGTAAAGTAACTAAAGTGACAAGATGCGATTTGTTTCATTTAAATGTAAAGCAGAAACAGTTCAACGACAAGTACATTTTTAGGTACGCGCTTATAAAGCCATTGGGCGTATCGTCGATAGTAACCTGACAATGACGTTGCAAAATGGAAAAACTCCTACAT